TTAACAGCAAGTACATTATAAGCAACTGTAATTAATTTACCTAAAATGAAAAGTAATCCCTTGCTTTACTTTTTCAGCAAAGAAGTAATTAAATTACAGCAGTTACTTTGTACCTAATTACACCCAACATTGCATGCAAAGAAGACACGTCCCATTTTTGGTGTCCATGTCAAATGTAATTACAGGTGATTATAGCTATAAAGCATGTTGAAGTGATAGTTCACCCAGAAATTAAAATTCTGCCATTAATGTTTAGAACTAATAATCATTGACTTTCATAGTATTATGGATGTCTATGTTTTTCACTTTCTAACAATCTTTACAGTATCTTTTTGGTTGAACTATCCCTTTTAATGCAAATAATTTATGTACAAAATATTTATTTAATATCAAAATATAAATAAAATCATGTTCGTTTTATTTAAAATTTTTTTGTCATTCAATGAAACGTCATAGTGATTCTGACCTGTGCTCATTAAAATATATATAATAAGAAGCGATCATACTCTATTTGTTTTAAATCCTTAAAATGAGTAAATGCTAGTGGTTTAAAGGATTGTGGCAAAGCATAAAGACCCAAACTGACAATTAATTTGTATTTTGAAGACGCACTTTGATCCCTAAATAGAGTCTTTTAATATGTCATTAAATGGTTCTTGTCCTCAATACGCCTAACAAGATGCTTTACCCTTTTCGTCTTTGACCTTTTAACTGAGAAAGTGAATGAAAAATGTCTTCTTTGAAAAGTTCATTAAAGACTCCTCACTGTAGGTAGCTGGAAAGGCAGCTGCAGGAACAGAAATACTGGAGGAAACGTAGGATTTAAAGGTGACCTTAAATACACAGTTTCTCTAATGTCCATAACCAAAAAAATATTAAAATAAAAGTTGTCTATTTTAGACTAGATTCATCAGATTAGATTCAACTTTATTGTCATTCCACATGTACAAGTACAAGGCAAAGAAAGGCAGTTTAGGTCTAACCAGGAGTGCAATAACAGGGAGTGCAGGTATTCCGAAAACAAAAACTGCAGCCGTATGTACCCGCCGGGACGTATTCCGCTGTCTCCAGAAACGTCCGCGGGACTACGTTTCCACAATGAGCCCGGGTTGAACATTAAATAATAAACAATGCAGTGTTTATGGGTAGTGTAAGTGTTGAGGAAAGTGTGGAGGTGTGTGTGTGTGTGTGGGG